TCAAAAAAATATTTTTTTTTTTTTTTTTTTTTTTTTTCCTGAGACGGAATCTCACTCTGTCACCCAGGCTGGAGTGCAGTGGTGCAATCTTGGCTCACTGCAACCTCCACCTCCTGGGTTCAAGTGATTCTCCTTCCTCAGCCTACCGGGTAGCTGGAATTACAGGCATGCACCACCACGCCCCACTAATTTTTGTATTTTTTAGTAGAGACAGGATTTCACCATGTTGGCCAGGCTGGTTTCGAACTCCTGACCTCAAAGGATCTGCCTGCCTCAGCTTCCCAAAGTGTTAGGATTACAGGCGTGAGCCACTGTGCCCAGCCAATAAATTCTTACTACTGGAGAAACTGGTAATATTTCGTGAGTACCCAATAAGTACCCAACACTGTTCTATGCCCTTTAATAATCCATACGGTGTTTATCACCACCCCATGAAGTCCTATTTAATTCCCATTTTACAGATAGGGAAACTGAGGCCAAAGAGCACTGATGACTTGCTGGGTCACACATACAATAGGGGGGCCTGGGAAGGGGGCCAGGGGATGGGAAGTGAGGTGGCCGCCAGCTGAGGTTTGCATTCTGACCCCCACAGGCTCATGCCGACAAGCAGAGCCACATCCTGTGGGCCCTCGCAGGCCACATGCAGCGGCAGAGGCGGGAGATGGTGGCACAGCAGCACCGGCTGCGACAGATCCACGAGAGGTGAGCCTGGTGGGGGTTTGGCAGGAGGGGCAGCTGGATGGGGGGCACACAGGGCAGCTGGAAAGGGGCCCCCTCACCTGGGCTGAGCCACATCTCCCTCCCCAGACTCCACACAGCGGCGCTCCCAGCCTGAACCAGCCTGGATGGAACTGAGGACCAGTCATGCTGCAATGGACACTGCCGTGCCCCATGAGGCCCCTCTGCAGGGAGGAGCTGCCTGTCCACTGCAATCAGCCAGGGCGCCGGGCCCCACTTCTGAGCAGAGCAGAGACGGACGTGGGCGGGGACAAAGGCGGAGGACGTAGTCCCATTGCGGAGGGGTGGAGGAAAGATGTGTACCCTTTCATGCCTATACACCCCTCATTAAAGCAGAGTCGTGGCATCTCACTCGGGGTGTCTATGTGTGTCCTCAGCTTAGGGAGACCCCACCCAGCATGATGCAGAAATACCTCCCATTAAGTGCCCAGCTGGGCCCCGGAGGCTGTACCTGTAGCTGGTATGGGGGGAGTAGACTTCTCGGGCAGGGAACTCCAGGATCTCCTTGGTGGGCCGGCCCCTGGGGTCTGGGTAGGGCTTGATATGAAGCAGCTCAGGGGAGAGGCAGAAGTGGGGATTTTCAGGAGCTGGAGAAATGTCGATCTTGAGCTGGGCTGGGGAGGGAAGAACCGGTTTGCACCTGCCTGGGAGGCTCCTGGCCCAGCCCACCCTCTCTGGGCGGTGGAGTCAGGGCAGAGTCTCCCACAATGTTCTCTGGGGACTGGGGCTGTGTCCCTCAGGTGCCAGGGACAGAAATTGCCCTCAACTCTGCTGTCTCTAGCCCTACATTTTTTTGCCTTTTTTTTTTTTTTTTTTTTTTTTGAGGCGGAGTCGCTCTCTGTTGCCCAGGCTGGAGTGCCCACTGCAACCTCTGCCAGCCTGGAGATCTTGGCTCACTGTAACCTCTGCCTCCCAGATTCAAGTGATTATCCTGCCTCAGCCTCCCAGGTAGCTGGGATTACAGGTGTGACCCACCACACCCAGCTAATTTTTATATTTTTAGTAGAGAAGGGGTTTTACCATGTTGGCCAGGCTGGTCTCAAACTCCTGACCTCAGGTGATCCATCCGCCTCGGCCTCCCAAAGTGTAATCCTCCCAAAGGATTACAGGCATGAACCACTGCACCTGGCACCCAGGCTGGTCTTGAACTCCTGGGCTCAAATGACCTTCCTCCTGCCTCAGCCTCCCAAAGGGTTGGGGTTACAGGCTTGAGCCACTGCACCCGGCCTTACCCCTACATTTGATCAGCTCTGTTCCCAGGACCTCTGCCTGTCCCCTGCTATTAGCCCCCCACTGATGGGATATCCATCTTATTTATTCTGCTTCTTGTCTGTGGTCCCCATTAGCAGGTGCAGCCAGCCCCTGAGGTCAGGGATTTGTCTATCACAGTCATCGTTGGGTTTCTGGTGCCTGGCACAGTAGGTGCTGTCGGTATAGGTTTGTTGAATGACTGAGAGTGTACACATCTTGTGTACGGACAGGGTGTGCCACGTACCAGTCACAGGACGCAGGCGCCGCAGCAGGGACGATGGGCGCCTCATGTCAGCCAGGAACTTGAAGAGGTCCTCATCGCTGAGTCGTTCAGCCTCCTACATGGGACCCGCTGCCATCAAACTGGGCCAGGGGGCCAGGGGTCCCCAGGGATGATGTGGCCAGTGGGGAATGGGGGAGTCCCTGGCCCCGGGGTAGGACACCTGCTTAAAGAAGTTTGTGACAGTTAGTGTGGCCGGACGGAAGCCAGAGAAGCTGCAGGCATCGTCTCCGCTGCTCGCCCGGTCCTGGGGTCCCCGACGGCGGCGGTCCGTCCAGGCTGGCCGGCGCTCTAGAGGAGTCAGTGCCAATGACAAACGGGGGACCGAGATGAAACTGGGAGACTCAGGGGCCGCACAGTTCGGCCAGCAGAGGGCGCACCTCCTGGCCCCGTAGCCCCGCCCCAGGCCCGTCAGCCCCACCCTTTAGCCCCGCCCCGAGCCCCGCCTCCTTACCGCCCTCCGAGTCCAAGTCCCGGTCCAGCTGCCCAGCGCTGCTCACGATGTTGGCCAAGTGCACGGCCGTCCAAGCGAAGGGCATGCGGTAGCGGCCCAGGCGGGTGCAGAACTGCTCGGCCGCCAGGCGCAGCTTCTCTAGCTTCTCTTTGTTCTATGGGGAGATCACCGTCCCCTGCCAGCTCAGCATCCCAGGACTGCTGAGTCAGGGATCTGCACTGCCCCCAGTTCGGCCTCCACACGCTTACCTTGGCGGCGTCCACTTCTTTCATCACCATGTAAGGCTCACAGCACTCACTGATGTCCCCTTGCTGAAGCACCTTCTCCAGCTGCGGGACCGATGAATGATTCCAGCGAGGCACTGCCGAAACCCTCTGTCCCCTCCTCCTGGCTCCCCAGCCTCCTGGACCCCTCATGGGCCCTCAGACACTCCTATCATATGAAGGCCTTTGCTCCAACACCTCCCATGGCTCCCACTGTCCTTGGGATCAAGGGTTAGTGCTTGGCCTGCCTAGTGGCTACTCCCTTCCATTCTTCAGATCCACTGGCAAACTCCAAGCCCACCTTTAGCTGGTGATATTTTCCCTACATTTACTTATTTATTTACATTTATGTATGTATGTATTTATTATGCAGAGACAGAGGTCTTGCTATGTTGCACAGGCTGGTCTCAAACTCCTGGGCTCAAGTGATCCCCCTGCCTCTGCCTCCCAAAGTGCTGGGATTCAAGGCATGAACCATCATGCCCCAGGCTTGCCCTAATTTTTTTTTTTTTTTTTTTTTTGAGACAGAGTCTCCCTCTGTCGCCCAGGGTGAAGTACATGGTGGGATCTCAGCTTACTGCAACCTTCACTTTCTGGGTTCAAGCTATTCTCCTGCCTCCTAGGTAGCTGTGATTACAGACACAAGCCACCACGCCTGGCGAATTTCTGTGTTTTTAGTAGAGACTGGGTTTCACCATGTTGGTCAGGTTGGTCTCTAACTCCTGGGCTAAAGAGATCCTCCCACCTCAGCCTCCCAAGTTGCTGGGATTCATGAGCCACCATGCCTGGCCTTCTCAATTTTTTTTTTTGTTAGTGTAAATAGAGGCCACTCTGGGCATGGCTCCGAGCCATGAGGCCTAGACTCCAATCCTGACAATTCAGGGGCTGTGGGACCCTGGGCAGTGGGACCTTACCTACTCTATGCCTCAGTTTCCCCATCGGGAAAATGGGAGCCATGCACCCCTCCACCTTGGGGCCTGTGGTGAGGACTGAAGGGGGAGTTCCTATGAAGCGTGACGGTAGCAGCACCTTCCTGTGGATACTGAATTCATTTCATCATTGCTACCTAATTGAAGATTTTGAGAAAAGAAACTTGACCTCACTCCCAGAAACAGAAAATCTCAAATGAGGGTGCCAATTAGGTCTTTCATCTGTCCACAAACTTCCCAACTGTGTCTCACCTGCCTCTGAGGACCCCCAAGCTGTCGCGTGTGCCCAGGGATTGCTTTTCTCCCCAGGCTGCCCACTTATGGTTTTCAGCTCAACTGCTGCCTCTCCCTGGAAGCCCTCGGTGATTTCTCCACACCTGAGTTGGGTCAGGGGCCTCCTCCCTGCCTGTGCTTCTCCCACAACAGCCCTGATTACCTTTCTTGGTGATGTATCTGTCTCACTCTGGGAAGCCAGGGACTGAACCAGTGACATTCACCATTACCACCCCCTTGCCCAGCCCCAGCAGGCACCTTGATGACCAGGAAGATGTCAGGCGAGGGGTAGGTCACTGAGAAGATGGCGGAGCGGGCCAGGGTGGAGATGGCAGGGTGGGTGCCATGAGCCCGAAGCAGCCCTTTCATGGAGTCCGAGTTCAGGTCGAAGTAGAAGTTCTCTGAGATCTAGGGACACCAGAGGCAGCTGGGCCATCACCTCTAGGAAGCCCACAGCCCCCCAACAAGGAGGAGGAAGGGGAGAAAAGAGAAAAAAGGGGCTCCTACCTTCTTTTTCTCCCGCACGTCGTACAGAGCCAAGATCCCAAAGATGGGCTCAATTTCAATCTCGAACCTGGAAGTAAATGGGAGGGAGGGGGCTCTCCTTGACACCCCCTGCCATCCATACACCCCACTCCCTCTTGAGACCCAACGTGGGGGGCACTGACTCCCACTGGGCCACACGGAACTGCCACTTAAGGGCTTACAGAAAAGGTACCTCTCATTTTGCAAAGGGGAAACTGAGGCACTGAAGCTACTGAATAGAGCTATCCCCTCTATTCAGCCAGCTCCTCTTCCTCATCGGGTCTCCGTGTATACATCCCCCTCCGAGGGAAGCTGTCCCAGATACCCCCTTCCACCCCTCAGGCTGGTTCAGGAGCCTCCTCCAGGACTCTAGGCACTTGGAGCATGTCTTATCCCGGCTCTGTGTGGTCACCACATGGTTATGTGTCCTGTATACAGCAGGGACTTCATAAGTGTTTTTTTTTTTAATTTTCATTTTTTGAGGCTGGAGTGCAATGGCACGATTTTGGCTCACTGCAACCTCTGCCTCCCTGGTCAAGCGATTCTCCTGCCTCAGCCTCCTGAGTAGCTGAGATTACAGGTGCCTGCTCCTCGCCTGGCTAATTTTTGTTTTTTAAGTAGAGACAGGGTTTCGCCATGTTGGCCAGGCTGGTCTTGCACTCCTAACCTCAGGTGATCTGCTCACCTCGGCTTCCCAAAGTGTTAGGATTACAGCCGTGAGCCACCACACCAGGCCAATAAGTGTTTGTTGAATGACTGGATGAGCCCACAGAGCCAGTTCCCAATCCTTGTTTAGGGCAAGAGGCCCACCCAGGCCTCAGGCCAGAATGGAGCCTCCCTTTCCTGCCCCGATCCAGGCAGGAACTCGGGGTGGGGAGAGGCAGGGCCAGGCTCAGGTCCAAGTCCACATCCTGTTCAGCTCTGTTCCCACGCACTTCTGCTGCTCCCCAGGGGGCTGGTGTGGAGGGGGCCCTGGGCAGCTGACAGTCAGGCCCAGGGTCACTAGCACCCGCCCCAAAACCTCCCCACCAAACCCCGGATCCCAGCAGCAGAGTAGGCAAGCGCCAGACTCCAGCCTCACAAGTCATATGATCTTGGCATGATAATGTTACCACTCTGTGCCTCAGTTTCCCCACCTGTGCCCACTTCATGAGGTTGTGATGAAGATTAGATGGGTTCACGTACATGAGAGGCTGAGAGCTGATCCTGGCATACAATTGTCATTTAAGGATTGGCAACTTGGGATAATGAAAAAGGAAGTCTTACTTCCCCCTATAAATGGCTAAATACAAACACAGAAGTATACACTGGGTACCAAGCAAATGTTGGTTGGATAAATATAGGCATATGTGGTGGCCATAAGTGGCCTCGTAGGTGACAGAACCGCACATGGTAATGGCACTGCTCATTAATGTGTACCCCACTGGAACCCATGTGGTCCTCTCATGCCTCTCAGAAGAGGGACACGTCAGTACACTCACTTGAGCGAAAGACATTTGACCAAGATCCGCTGTCCAAAGTGCTCGCGGGGTGGCTCTGGACGGCTGCAGCGTTCCACGGCTTCATCCTGCCAAGAGTTGGGGGCGGGGGCTGGGGAGGAGCAGCTAGGACATCCTCCAGGAAGGGCCTGGAGTGCCCAGCCTCAGACCAGCTCTACTCCAGCCTGAGTACGCTTCTTTCCGTCCCTGCCTCTGAGCCTTTACAAACATGCTGTTCCCCTGCCTGCAGTGCCCTTCCTTTCTTGCTCCTCCTTGTCTGGCCAATGTCTGCTCATTGTTCAGGTCTCAGCTCAACCAACACTTCCTCCAGGAAGTCCTCCCTGACCCCTGAGGCCTGGACAGGCACCTCATCCAGGTGCCCACAGTATCCTGGTGTAATGAGCCATGGTGGCTGGGAAACTGGGGACCTCATGAAGGATGATGACCAGCACTTCATCATAGCGCTGCTCTGTCTGGGTTATCATTTCCTAGAAGAGGGGTCTCTCCTCCACTAGTAAACTCTGAAGGTAGGGACTGGGTCTCTCTATTCATGGCTATATCCCCAGTGCCAACAATGCAGTGGGTACCCAAACATGTTAGTCGAATAATTACAGAGGTATACAATAGGTGCCTACTAAAAGTTGGTTGGATGAACATAAGCATGTACAGAAAGCATTCAATAAATGCTGACTGGAGATATATAGGGATATACACCCAATACGGCACTCAATAAGTACTGATTGAATAAATATGGGCGTATATAGTAAGTGCTCAATAAGTCGCTAAATACAAACACAGGAGTGAGTATATGCTAGGTACCAAATAAATGTTGGTTGGATAAATAAAGGCATACATGGTAGGTGCTCAATAAATACTGGTTGATTAAATAGAGAACTATATAGTAGGCATTCGTGTATTGAATAAATATAGGGATATACAATTGGTACCTAATAAATGCTTGTTGGATAAATAATGTTTAAACATTTATTTTCTATTTTTTACCTTTCCTATGGTGTTGATGATTGGATAAATGTAGGAGTATACAGTAGGTGTCCACATATAAAAGCTACTGAATAAACATAGGGGATACAGTAGGTGCCCAATAAATGCTGGTTAGCTAACTATAGAGGTATAAAGTAGGTATCCATATAAAGAAGCCATTTTTTTTTTTTTTTGATACAGAGTCTCGCTCTGTTCCCCAGGCTGGAGTGCAGTGGTATGATCTTGACTCACTACAACCTCCACCTCCTGGGTTCAAGTGATTCTCCTGCCTCAACCTCTGGAGTAGCTGGGATTACAGGTGCCCACTATCAAACCCCGCTAATTTTTGTATTTTTAGTGGAGATGGGGTTTCACCATGTTGGTCAAGCTGGTCTTGAACTCCTGACCTCAGGTGATTCACCCACCTTGGCCTACCAAAGTGCTGGGATTATAGGCATGAGCCGCCACACCCAGCCAGAAGCTATTTTTTTTTTTTTTGGAGACAGAGTTTTGCTCTGTCGCCCAGGCTGGAGTGCAGTGAGGGTGATTTCAGCTCACTGCAGCCTTCACCTCCCGGGTTTAGATGATTCTCATGCCTCAGCCTCCCAAGTAGCTGGGATTACAGGGACCTGCCACCATGCCTGGCTAACATTTGTATTTTTAGTAGAGATGGGGTTTCACCATATTGGCTGGTCTTGAACTCCTGGACTCAAGCAATCTGCCCACCTCATCCTTCCAAAGTGCTGGGATTACAGGTATAAGCCACCATGTCCGGCCTAGAAGTTCTTGAATAAGCGTCGGGTATTCAGTAGGCACCCAGTAAATGCTGGTTGGATAAATATAGGAGTACATAGGTGTCCACATATAGAAGCTATTGAATAAACATAGGATATACAGTAGGTGCCCAATAAATGCTGATTGGATTATCATAGGGGTATATAGTAGATGTCCATCTGTAGAAGCTATTGAATGAATATAAAGTATACAATAGGCACCCAGTAAATTCTGGCTGGCTGATATCTGGGAAGGGGCACCCACCTCATCAGGCGCCAGGTAGAGGGTGAGCAGGGCTGGGGGCCGGTGCTGCCGACGTAGGGCCTCATTGCGCCGGTCCACGTCTTCTGGGGCCGCTCGTTCCAGCAGTGAGGGCAGCAGTGAATCAGCTGTCAGGTTCCTCAGGTCGAAGATGCTAGAGGCTCCGCTGCTTCGAGGGGTGTCTTCTGGGGAGCCCGAGCCGCGCCGGGAGTCATCCTGCCAGTGGAGAATGCACAAGCACTGAGTGTCAACTGTATACACCCTCACCCCACTCTGGTGAGTGTCCTCATTCTCATTCTAGAGATGGGGAAATAGAGGGCCAGGGGGTGAGGGTCTGTAAGGGTTACCTGGGGGTTTTGCTTACCCTCTTTCAAGAAACTTTAGAGAGCACCCCAACTTTTTTTTTTGAGACAGAGTCTTGCCCAGTCGCCAGGCTGGAGTAAAGTGGCACAATCTTGGCTCACTGCAACCTTTGCCTCCCGGGTTCAAGTGATTCTCCTGCCTCAGCGTCTCAAGGAGTTGGGACTACAGGCACCCACTACCACGCTCAGCTAAGTATTATATTTTTAGTAGAGACGGGGTTTCACCATGTTGGCCAAGATGGTCTTGATCTCTTGACCTGGTGATCTGCCCACCTCGGCCTCCAAAGTGCTGAGATTACGGGCGTGAGCCTCTGTGCCTGACCAAGCCCCCCAACTTTTACCATTGTTGGGGGAGGGTCCTCCTCATCCCATACTTGGGGCTTCCGGTGATCCTTATTTGGCTAATCAGAACACATCTACTCACCCTAGGGATTGGCTCCAAGGGCCTGGGCTGGGCCAATGAGAGCCTTCGCTGGGACTCTGTTCACTGTTGCCAGGGGAGGGGAGAGTTCTTCCTGACCTTCCTGTGCTGGATCAAATGCTAGCTCAGCTCTGTGACACTGGGTCTCTGACTCCCAGCTCTAAGGGCCTCAGTTTCCCTATCTACATCTAAAAATAACAAAATTAGCTGGGCATGGTGGCTCATGCCTGTAATCCCAGCTACTAAGGAGGCTGAGGGGGGAGGATTGCTTGAACCTGGGAGGTGGAGGTTGCAGTGAGCTGAGATTGCACCACTGCAAGTCAGCCTGGGTGACAGTGCGAGACTCCATCTCAAAATAATAATAATGAAAACAATAATCCTTGGAATAATTATGGCTGGTATACAGTAGGTGCTCAGTAAATGTTGATTGACAAGATATAGGCTCAGGGCCTCTAAGAACCTTGCTGTGCCTCAGTTTCCTTACCTGGGTGTAATGGCTGCTCTGACTCACAGAATGAAAGGAAAGGACACATATAAAACCTTTAGTACATACTAAACACTCAATAAATGCTTATAATTATTACCCCTAAGTGTTTGTTTGTTTTTTTTCGAGACAGAGTCTCCCCCTGTTGCCCAGGCTGGAGTGCCATGGCATGATCTTGGCTCACTGAAACCTCTGACTCCCTGGCTCAAGCGATTCTCCTGCGTCAGTCTCCTAAGTAGCTCCTAAGATTACAGGCATGTACCATCATACCCAGCTAATTTTTTGTGTTTTTAGTAGAGACAGGGTTTCACCATGTTGGCCAGGGTGGTTTCGAACTCCTGACATTGTGATCTGCCCACCTCGCCCTCTCAAAATGCTGGGATTACAGGCGTGAGCCACCGATCCCAGTCTTTTTTTTTTTTTTTT